AGGACAACCCCTGTGGCACCTCCCCACCTGGGTCTTAGAGGCGAAGAGGGAGGTTGGAGCAGGGCTAGCAGCAGGGTGGGCCTGGGGGAGGTCTCTGACCCCTGCCCCTGGCTCCAAGGTCAGTGTGGGCTGTTTGCTGTTTGCTGCTTGCAATGTTTGCCCATCTTGGGGACAGGAACAGGCTGAAGGTCGTTCAGGGTGGACCTCAGAGTCAGCTGAATAACAACTGGGTGTGAGGTGATGGGGGCAGAGAGAGAGGTCACAAGAGGGGAGTGGGGGTGGGAGGGGTGGGCTCGGAGACCCCAGTGCGTGTGTCTGGGGGCAGAGAGCATCTCTGAGCCTGCAGCTCTGTGTTGGAGAGACCACCAGACACCAAAATCACTCTGCCCCAGTCCAGACCCCATCCCCTCACTCCTGAATCCAAGAATCCTGGCACTCCTGGGTTATGGCAGGAATGTCTGGGGCCCAGGAAAGGTTGAAATGTCCCCTCCTTTATCTCTTCTTTCTGCTTTCTGTCTTGAGAGTTCTGCTTTCCTTCATTGTTAAGTCACAGAGATATTGGGGCGCCTGGGTGGCTCAGTCGGTTAAGCCCATCTGACTCTTGAACTCAATGTTGTGAGTTCCAACCCGCCCAGCGTGGAGCCTACTTAAAACAAAACAAAAAAAACAGAGATAATCACATGCCGTAAAAGTCACCCTTTTAGTGTACAATCCAATGTTTCGGCGTTTTTTTTTTTATAACATATTTGCAAAGTTGTGCAACCATCACCACTGTCTAATTCCAGAACATTTCCATCACCCTGAAAAGAAACCCCCATACCCGTGAGCCCACCAGGATCACTCTCTTTGCCTTCTCCCCCCAGCCCAGCAGGGCCACCACTGATCGCCTTTCTGTTGCTATGGAATTCCCTTTTCTGGATGTCATGTAACTGGAATCGTACCCTGCATGACCTCTTGCGGTTGGCTTCTTCGCTGAGCATCGTGTTTTCGGTGGTTCGTTCATGCTGTGGCGTGTGTCAGTGTTTCCTTGTTTTTATGGCAGAATAATATTCACATATACATACACTGTGTGATGTTCATCAGTTGTTGGGCTTTTGGGTTCTTTCCACTTTTTGGCTGTCATGAACAATACTGCCACAAACACGTGTGTACACATTTTTTTTTTAAAGATTTTAGGGGCGCCTGGGTGGCTCAGTCGTTAAGCGTCTGCCTTCGGCTCAGGTCATGATCCCGGGGTCCTGGGATTGAGCCCCGCATCGGTCTCCCTGCTCTGCAGAAAGCCTGCTTCTCCCTCTCTCACTTCCCTTGCTCGTGTTTCCTCTCTCACTGTGTCTCTCTCTGTTAAATAAATAAATAAACTCTTTAAAAAAATAAAAAAAGACTTATTTATTTCAAAGAGGGAGCGAGCAAACACAAGCAGGGGGAGCAGCAGAGGGAGAGGGAGAAGCAGGCTTCCTGCTGAGCAGGGAGCCCGTTACGGGACTCGATCCCAGGACTCTGAGATCATGACCTGAGCCCAAGGCAGATGCCCAACTGACTGAGCCACCCGGGTGCCCCTGTGTACACATTTTTATGTGAACCTGTGAGCAGCTCTTTTGGGTAGACACCCTAGTAATGGAGTTGCTGGGTCACATGGTCACTCTGTTGAACTCTTGGAGGAAGTGCTAAACTGTTTTTTTTCCAAAGGGGTTCCATTCATTCGTTGTTATATCCAGTTTTTCATTCACATCAAGTTTGTGAATGAACATTCATGGGCACAAAAATTGTGTTGCTTGTCACGCTCTTCTCCAGTTCTTTTTGACGACTTCTGAATCGTCTTTTGGGTTTCGGGTGCCATGTCCCCTCCTCCAGGGAGCCCTCCCTGACCAGCTACGCTGAGTCAGGTGCCCACGGGGAGCCCCCATCCCTGCCCTGCCCGCTGTGTGGAGCGTGTGCCATGGGTGGGGCTGTCCAAATGTGCCACCTTTGCTCCCCGAGTGGGAATGTTTCTACATGCACGTCTGGGGCTCTCTGCGTGTTTTTGTTCTTGGTGTGATCCGGGCTATTTGCTCTCTGAGGTCCTGAAGGTATGTTGTAAACCTGAGGAGAACAAATGCATTGGCTCTAAATATAAAGTATAAAAAGAAAATCTTAAAATGAGAATGAATGAGTTCACGAGTGGGTAATGAATGGGAATCATGGGTCTGCATGTAAGCTGGCCCATGGAAATGTTCACTCACATTCCAGAAGTATCGCCTGAGCCCTCACTGTGTGCCAGGCACTGTTCTGGGCACTCGGCGGCCCTGCAGGCGACAAGACAGCCTCCACGAACTTGACATCTCAGCAGCGGGAGACACAGACAGTAAGCAAGTAAGCAAATAGACATACGATATATTAGAGGGTAGCACCTACTGGGAAAAAAGGCAGATATGAAGTTGGGAGAGTGATGGGAGAGCCATGTGGGGGGAGCACGACAGAGACCCCAAGGAGGTGACAAGAGAGCCAGGTGGATATCTGGACATCTGGTGGAAGAGCATTCCAGGCAGGGGGATAGCAAATGCAAAGGCCCTGGGGTAGGAGCCTGCCCAGTGTGTTGGAGGAGCCTGAGGAGTTGCACGTGAGGGAGGGGGAGAGGCCACAGGGGTGCCTGGGCCAGGTAGTGCGGAGCTGGTGGACTCTGATACCATCTTCGGGTTTTCCTCTGAGGCTGGAGGGAGAGTTCTTTTTTTTTTTTTTTTAAGATTTTTTTTTAATTTACTTGACAGAGAGACACAGCGAGAGAGGGAACACAGGCAGGGGGAGTGGGAGAGGGAGAAGGGAGAAGCAGGCTCTCCGCGGAGCAGAGAGCCCGATGCGGGGCTCCATCCCAGGCGCCCCCTGGAGGGAGAGTTCTGAGCAGAGGAAGGGTATGTGTGATGTGACTTGTGTTCTAACCGGATCCCTCTGGCTGCCAAGTGGGAAGGGAGCAGAAGGAGCTTGGAGGGCTGATTTGCGGGGGACGGGGCACTGAGTACAGAGACTTATATTTATTTATTTCCCACCATTGTTCTCCACCCTCATTTCCTTGAGCATCCCTCAGATGAGCTTGGAGTAGTCCTCAGAAAGACAGAGCTCAAACCCACAAGGTTCTTCCCCATGCATGTGTTCTAAGTTTACATCTGTGGCACCACCCTGGGTGTCTTCTCCTGTTTCTTTTTCTTTCTTTTTAAAAGATTCTATTTATCTATTTGTCAGAGAGAGAGAGAGAGAGCACAAGCAGGGGGAGCGGCAGGGAGAGGGAGAAGCAGACTCTCCACTGAGCAGGGAGCCTGATGCAGGGCTCAATCCCAGGACCCTGGGATCATGACCTGAGCCGAAGGCAGACGCTTAACCAACTGAGCCGCCCAGGCGCCCCTTAAGCCTCTCTTCAAAGGTGGAGAGCACACCCCATGAACTGCTTGCCATCCATCTTCTCTGTCCCTGCCCTCTCCAACCTGAGAGCTGTCCAGAGGGGTCAGGAAAATGCTTGAAAACTGCCTCCAAAATGCTGGAAATATGGCCAAGTAAAGATGAGTAACTGATTAAATCGGCACAGAATATATCCTTTTGCCAACTAGCCAACTGCAGTGTGACTGCTTGTATGAATTTTCTCTGATGAGGGATGTGGGGGCATTTTAATATACTGAGGATGATGCAGGTGAGCCCCAGGGCCAGGTAGGGGTGTGTGTGTGTAGCTGCAGCCAATGTGTAGGGCCGGTGACTCAGGAACAAGGAAAGTGGAGTAAGGATGTGGCCCCTGGAACAAACCCCCCCACCCCCCAGCCTACATTCAAATCCCAGCTCTACCCATTTTGGGCTGTGTGACATCACATAAGTGACTTGAGACTTCTGTGCCTCAGTTTCTTCCTCTGCCAAATAGAGGCAGTGACAGCACCTACCTCAGAGGAGTTTTGTGAAAATGTAATGTTTAGGGGCATCTGGGTGGCTCAGTCGGTTGACTGTCTGTCTTCGGCTCGGGTCAGGATCTCTGGGTCCTGGGATCGAGCCCCGCATCGGGCTCTCTGTTCAGCGGGGAGTCTGTTTCTTCCTCTCACTCTCCCTCTGTGCTCTCTCTCTCTCTCAAATAAATAAAATCTTTGTTTAAAAAAGTGTAATGTTTAGGGGCGCCTGGGTGGCTCAGTCGTTAAGCGTCTGCCTTCGGCTCAGGTCATGATCCCGGGGTCCTGGGATCGAGCCCCGCATCGGGCTCCCTGCTCCGCGGGAAGCCTGCTTCTCCCTCTCCCACTTCCCCCTGCTTGTGTTCCCTCTCTCGCTGTGTCTCTCTCTGTCAAATAAATAAAATCTTTAAAAAACAAAAAAAAGTGTAATGTTTAGGTGTTTTTTCCGATTGAGAATAATCATTCCACCAAGTAGTACTGAGCTCCCACACTGCGCCCAGTCCTGCGCCGGACCGTGCCTCGGGACACTGGGGATGACAGCCCCGGCCCTGTCCTCCTGGGGCTCACAGTCCAGTAGGAAAGACAGACCCATCACTAGGCAGTGATGACCCAGCCTGGGGGTGAAGGAGGGCTTCCTGGAGGAGGGGACATCAAAGCTTCCTTGGAGGGTGATGGATTGTGTAGATAGATCTCATTGAGGGCTCTAGCCCAGGTCCTACCCTTGCTCCCTTCCACATCCCTCTTTATTATCCATTTTAAGTATAATAAACACCTGCTGTGTACATGGTGATGAACCGACCAGGTCCCTCATCTTGGGCAGCCAGGCCAGGGAAGAATATAGCGAACAGTAGCCTCAGGCTGGGGGTCCAATCCAGCTCTCCCCTTCCTGACGAGTGACTTCACCTCTCTGGGCTTCAATGCCCTCACAGAATTAACAGGGCCCTGCTCGCAAGGTTCTTGTGAGGATTTTTTTTGAGACCATGAAGTTTAAAGCCCTCCGCACAGGTCAAGTAGACAATGCTCAATACATTTGACTCCTTGCCTCTCTCCCCAACCCACCCTGCCCCACCCTGAGCCCCTACCTCACAGCGAAGAAGCACTCAGAATTCTCTACAGGATTTTTATTGGAGGGTGGGGGTGGATATGGGCATCATGAAGTCCTCGGTACAGGAGCCAGGGCATGGGAAATTTCAGAGCTCCTTCGGTGGCGCACAGCCCAGAGGAGTGGGGGCGGCTCTCCTGGTGTTCAGGAGAAGGTAGTTTTTAGCTGCTCCTTCACTTTGTTGAAAGTCTCAGAAAACCAGTTCCTGCAGGGAGCGATGGGGAAGGAGTCACTGTGTTTGTCTCCCCTCAGGGGCCCAGATCCTGCCCCCTACCTGCCTCCCCCACCTTCCCCTTTCCCTTCCCCCCAGGAAAAGGCATGGCTCTGGTATCTATGGGATTGGGAGGAGCCCTGGGCTGGGTTTCCCAGAGGGACCAGAGCCCTTTGAAGTCAGAATGCCCCAGAAGGCTTGCTATCTCTAGCTAGTAAGCCTGCTCTGGCCTAGCTGTCTCCTGCTTATTCAAGGGCACTCTCCAGCCTCTTTGTCTTTGCCTAGGCTGTCCCTCTGGCCTGGATTATGTACATATCTTCCTGGCTCAGGGCTTTCTCACTCACCCTCCACAGGGAACATTCTTCCCATGTTTCTAAGGCCCGGCTGGATTTTCCTAATCACTCAGATCTCAACTTTTTTTTTTTTTTTTTTTAAGCAAGACAACCAGGCCTCATGGGGCCTCGAACTCACAACCCCCAGATCAAGACCTGAGCTGAGATCAAGAGTCTGAAGCTTAACTTACTGAACCACCCAGGCTCCCCGAAGCAGTAACACTTTAAATGGAGATATGAAAAGGGGTGCCTGGCTAGCTCAGTCGGAAGAGTACACGACTCTTAATCTTGGGGTCGTGAGTTCAAGCCCCACGCTGGTTGTTTACACCCACCCTGCTTGTTGTCTTCTTAGTGCTTAGCCCTGTTTGGGCTAATCTCCCGGACATTCACTGGTTTACAACCTGCTCCCTGTGGGCTGGGACTTTATCTTGTTCATCACTATTATTCCCCACATTGGAACAGCCCGGACACGGAGCCGATGCCCAATAAATATTTGTTCATGAATGAATGATTTTCTAAGTGGCCAAATGGAGTTGATGTTGGTTAAACAGCATATCGAGCATTTACAATGTGCCAGGCACTATGCAAATCCCCTAGTTTGCTTCTCCTCAGAACTATCCGTTCTACAGGCGAGGAAAAAGGCTGGTCCAGACCTACGCCCGAGATCACACAAAGAGTAGTGAGTCTTCGCTGGCCTGTGGACCCAGGTCTGACTGACTCCCAAGCTTGGTCTTTCACCACCATGCAGGACCATTTCTACAGCGTGGCCTAGATGGAAGTCAGGAACCTGTGCCCCACATCTAAGCACCCTGCGATCCAGCTGTGACCACAGGGAAGCTGTCCGCCTCTCCAGGCCTCCGTTTCCCCAATCTGTTAGTGATGCACCCCAGCCCTCCCAGGCCCTGGGAAGGTTTCTAACCGGGTCTTCGCAGGAAGGTCACTCTGCTTGATGCTCTCAATGGCTGCCCGGGCCTTGTTCTCCAGGGTGTTACCAAACTCCTTCAGTTTATCCGGGATGCGCTCCAAAGTGCTGGAGATTTCTGGGGCCGCCTGGGCGGGGGCTGGGCCTGCCCAGAAGATAGGCAGCAGTACAAAAATTTCAGTATGGGAGCCCTTAGGATGAGACTCCAGGGGTGGGAAAGGAGATCCTTGACAGTGATTCTTGGAGGTCACGGTGTTAGACTCGGAGGCGGGGTGCGGGGAGAGGGTACTAAAGCGACCAGATGGAGCTCAAGCTGCTGGGAATTAGCTTACTCTCAGCACTGCTTCACCCCTCCCCTTTCCAAGCTGTAAAAGCTGGACAGCCAATCCTGAGGGGCGAGTCAATAATATCATCGGTTGCTGGAGCTTCCCATGGCAGATTAGCCACCCGCAGGACCGCCCCTTAGAGAGCCCTCACCCACCTTGCGGCGTTGGGGGTGGGGTGATCGGTGAGAGAGAGGGAAACCAGGGCACAGAAGGGGCCGCAGAGCTCTCAAGGGTCCTCCAAGCTCGGACCCCAGACCCGTAGCCAGCTTCAAGCTTCCAAATCTCAAACTCCCGGATTCTCCTATCCCACTTTTACCTTCCAAAACCATCGCCAGAACCACCACCAAAACTGGGAGCGACAGGAAGAGCCTCATGGCTGGGGGGCCGGAGGGGCACTCTGGAAGCAGAAGCAGGGGTGGGAGTGAGCAGTGACACCCCTCCTCCCTACCCCGAGTTCCTTCCAAACCTCCTTTCTAGTGCTCTTGGAGGGGTAGCCCTCGCGCGCATTGAGCACCAACCTGGATCAGTCGCGGGACAGCACGGTGGGAGGTCCTGGCCCGGCCCAGGCCTTTATTGGGCTGGGGAGGGGGCGGGGCAAATTAATCCCTCCCCTTAAGCCTCCGGCAGATGGCCTCCGCCCTGTGCCCACCCACCTTTTTCTCTTCCCCGCCTGGCTGGTGCGTGGGTCAGGTGTGCCTAGGCACAACCTTTAGGCCTAAAGCGTCTTGCTGTTCAGGTTGCCTGGGTGGCTCAGTTGGTTAAGCGACTGCCTTCGGCTCTAGGTCATGATCCTGGAGTCCCGGGATCGAGTCCCGCTTAGGGCTCCCTGCTCAGCGGGGAGTCTGCTTTTCCCTCTCCCCTCTCATGCTCTCTCTCTATCTCATTCTCTTTCTCAAATAAATAAATAAAAATCTTAAAAAAAAAAAAAAAGCGTCTTGCCTGTTCAGCACCTGCACCTCCAAATCTCCCTGACTTGGTGGATCTCAGCGTGCCGTAGTCCCTTCCCCACGTGGGGCATTGCCTTTAGTCTCTCTCCAGTGGCCAACTTCTCTAGGGGGTCTCTCCTGCTGAACACCCTTCTCCAGGCCTGGGGAAGGGGGGGGGTCTCTCAGTCACTTAGTCACTCTGTAACTCAATTCACGGCGACTCCTCAGGCCTCCTCTTCCGCCCCCCTCCCTTCTTAGCAAGCCTCTTCAGCACAAGCAAGCAACTCTTCCTCCAAGACTCTAGGGTCACCCCACCTGCCCCCTCATTCCTAGTCCCTTGCCACCTCCAGTCTCACTTTCAGACCAGCCCTCAAGCCCCACCCCCACCTCCCTGCATCTGGGAGCATCCCAGACCTCCATGGTTGTGCTCTGGGGTCTTTATTCCACAGCCCCCCGATCTCTCTTTGGGGAAGGGGTCCTTTCAGCCTGTCTGAACTGCAAAAGCTCAGCTGCAAAGATCCCAGTGTGTGTGCCTCCATCCATTCCACCAGGCCCCTCTTTGCCCTCTGCTCTCCCACTCTGGAAGCTTCCAGGTCCCCTGGTAAACACTCCATCTGCCCTTACCCCTTCGGGCCCTTCCTGGCACTAGGCACCCCCGCCCCCCGTCTCTCCTCCCACCACATCCGTCCCTCAGGGCTCGAGTCCAGTGCTTCCCCCCTTCTTCTGGCTGCCTTTGACCGCCAGTGATCCCTGGCAGCTGTAGGGAAGGGCGGCCCTGGCCTCAGACTTGAGGTTGGCTGGCCTTGTGCCCCCACAACCACGTGTCAGCCTGGGGGTGGTGGGGGGGACGGTTGTGAAAGGGACACACAGACATGACCCTGGCAGGATTGCGACAACCCCTTGGCCAGCTCAGTGCATCTAGTCCCTGTCAGCCCCCCAGCTGCCTTCCCAGACATCTGCTTCCCCTGCGAGCCTAGCACTCCCCAGCCATCCACCCAAAGTTCTGCTCTCCTTCCTTCCCCACCCCACCGGAACAGAATAACAACTTTGCTTTTCCAGTCTCCTCCTCATTCCAGCTACAGGGGTTTCCATTTACAGATGGGGAAACTGAGGCACAGCCAAGCGCATTCAATGGCTCAGCCAGGGGCTAAGGCGCCGGGGAGGGGGGGCGCGGTGGTGTCAGTTCTTTGTCCCTCCACTTTCTGGACTCCAGGCTTGTCTCTCTGAATCTCTGCGGGCTTGTCAGCCTCCGCCCCACAGCACCCACTCTGTTCCCCCAAACTCCTTCTGCAGCCCTTGTGCCACCTCTAGACCCGACTGCGGTCTTCATCCAGGAGAATTTAAGATTCAGCTCTTCAAGGGGGAGATGTGGCTGAGGCCAGCCCCGGCCATTGACATCTGTGGCTCAGAGGGCTTGGCCTCAGCTCCGGGGCACACAGTGAATCAGTAGCATGCTTGGCTGGGACTAAGCCCCCTGCCTCTGAGCCCACTGGCCCTTCTCCTCCTCACCCAGACTGTGGTGAGTCATCTGGGGGTGGGGAGGGGCGCCTGCCTCCACAGTGGCACTCAGGGCAGCCGGCCCCATAGGAACCACATGGGAGAGCGCAGGCTGGGCCTGGGAGTTACAGGTTCAAGCCCTGGCCTGTCCTCTGGGCTGGGAACCCTGCTCCCCTCCTCTGAGAACTGAGGGGGTGGGAGAGAATGCCAGGGGGCAGCTCCAGGCTCCAGTCCTCGCCGCTCCTGAGTGTCAACCAACTGGCTCCCAGCCGTGGACCCCAGGGCTCGGAGCGGGGAGGGCAGCTGCCTTCTCTCCAGCCAGAATCCAGCACCCAGTAGGCTTGTTGGGCTAGACAAGAGGTCAGCAGCCCAGCTGGAGGACAGAGGGAAGGAGGATGAGGGCAGGGGGCCGGGAAGCACGGCTCCCATGAAGACACCTGTTAACCCAGAGGGAACGCCAAAGGCAGAGAGGGCCCAAGTGAGGACCGAACAGGTTGGAGAGGACAAACCGAGCTGGGGCAAGAAGGGAAACAAGAAACCCGCGGAGCCGGGGAGGGAGGTGGGGGAAGAAACTGGAGGAGAAAGAGATAAAAGATAGAGGTGGGGGAAAACAGGAAGCTAGAAACTGAAGCCTCTCAGCCAAGAGCAGGCGGCAGAATCAGATAAGGCAGGAGAGCGACAGTAAGCGCTTCATCCCAACGGCAGGGGTGTCGCGGCTTTGGAGTCCAGACTCCACGGAGCAGGTATCCCGCCCTCGAGCAAGCCCAGGCTCCGAGAGGCTGCTTCCCACCCTCGCCCCCGACCCCCGACCCCGGTAGTCAGGGGTGACCACAGGATTTACCCCAGGGGCGGATCTGGTCCAGAACCAGAAGGGACAGCGAGGGTAGAGAAGAGAGAGTGAGCACTGCTGAGCGGAGACAGAGCAAAAAGGGAGACTCTGAAAGGGACGGAAGGAAGCGAACAGTGACATCAGAAAAGACAAAGAGACGCACAAGCAGAGGGGACAGGACAGAGCTGTGTGGCCAGTGTGGGGAGGGAGAGAGAAACCGAGGCACGAGCCGGGAGAAATCACACACGGAGGCCCAGCAGCTGCTGTGGAGCTTGGTGAATCTTTATTAAGCTAGGGCCCTCCAGGAGGCCGGTTGGGGCCCGGACAGCGCCTCCTGGAGGCTGGGGTGGGGGGGGTGGGGAGGCAGGGGGCACGGGGAGGGGCGGGGCCCACCAGGCGGCGCGCGCGGGGTACTCATTTGGTCTCCACGGGTGGGGTGGTGGGGCTGGTGCCCACGGCCGCCTGCACCTTCTCCACCAGCACGGCCCACTGGCGCTGCATGTCTTCCACCAGGGGCTCGAACCAGCCCTTGAGGCGGGCCTGGAAGGCCTCGGCCTGCTGGCGCATCTGGTTGGCCTGCTCCTCCATCTTGGCCTGCACCTCCTCCATCTGCTCGCGCACCTCGTCCAGGTGGCTGCGGGCGCGGCTGCCCACCTCCTCCAGCCGCCCGCGCAGCTGCTGGCCCAGGGCGTTGACGCGCTCGCGCAGCGGCTGGGTGGCCAGGGCGTCCACCTTGGCGTGGCGCGTGCGGGCCTGCTCCAGCAGCGGCCAGAGGCGCTCGCGGATGGTGCTCACGCTGCGCTCGGCGCCCTCGCGCACCCCGGCCCGATACACGGCCAGGCGCTTCTGCAGGTCCTCGGCGTCCCGCAGCACCCGCTTGCGCAGCTTGCGCATGTGCGAGGCGAAGCGCGCCCTCAGCTCCTCGGTGCTCTGGCCCAGCATGGCCTGCACCTCGCCGCGGTACTGCGACAGGCGGGTGCGCACGTCCTCCATGTCCGAGCGCAGCCGGGCCTGCGCCGCCTGCAGCTCCTTGGCCACGCGGGCCTGCGTCTCCGAGGCCATGGGGCCCAGCTGCTCCTCCAGCTCCGCCCCGTAGGCCTTGATCTCCTTCATGGTCTCCTCCATCAGCGTCCTGGGGGCCGAGAGAGGGCGGGAGCGTGTGTGTGCGCCGAAGCGGGGCGAAAAACCCTGGGGGTGGGCGTGGGGGGCAGGGTGGGGACGGGGACGGGCAGAAGCAGAGGTGAAAGGGAAGGGTGCGAGGGACTGAGCTAGCCTGCTGGAGGGGCGGCGGCCAGAGGCAGGAAGAGCGGAGAAAGGGAGAGCGGTCCATCAAGCCAGGAGCTCGCCATAGGCAAGAGGAAGCAAGGCATGACCAGAGATGCCGAAGAGTTGGTGACAGGGACACCGGCAGAGGTCCGGGGGTCCAGAAGGCACTGCCCGCCGGGGAGTGGCAGGGGCACTCACGTCAGTTCCTGGGTGACCTGGTTGCTGAGCACCTCCTCCTGCACCTGGTCAGACAGCGTCTGCACCCAGCGCAGGTAATCCCAGAAGCGGGCCAGCGCCACCTCCCAGGGCTGGCCAGCCTGCCACCCGGCCTCGGGCTCCACCTCCTGCTCCAGCTCCCGCTTGGGCTCCAGCTCGGGCTCCAGGTTCTCCTCCAGCGGCGACTCCGGCTCCACATCGGCCCAGCATCCTGCACAGAGCAAGTTCACGGCAGTCACCCCCACCAGGCACACAGTACCTGGTACGCAGCAGGTGCTCTGTAAATGCTCCTGCGCTTCTTTAGAGCACTGGCGGGCACGTACTGAGTGTCTGTGTCTGCTCCATGCAGGGCCACGCTGTGGTGATGAATAGAACTACTAGTCACAGCGGACACTAATCTAGTGCTGTCCGCCTGCCTGACAACTATGCATTCGGAACTGTTCTAACTCTCGTTTTAAGGGTGGGGAAACTGAGGCCCAGAGAGACTAAAAACAGCCGCTCAAAGCCAGTGGATGTGAGGCCTCACACCTGGGCCCCCCCCCCTCAAGGGGGAGACAGACCAGCAGAAGGAGGGACCCAGGGATGAAAGGGGGGCACGGGGGTCCAGGTGAGGACGGGAAGGGAAGGGACAGGGAACCTGAGCAAGCCCCGTCCACATACCTGCCAGGAGCGCGACCACCAGCGCAGCCCACAGAACCTTCATCTTGCAGCCTGCGATCGGTCAGGTTGAGTGAGAGATGTCAATCAGCCCCCAGTGGAGACCCCTCCCACCCAGAGCCCCGCCCCACCCGTTCCGGGCCTTCCAAGTCTTGCCCGCGCCCCATTATCTGCATCGGCCGAATCCAATCACAAACATTTCACCAAGCGGTCCCTCCATTGTTTATCTAACTCCTTCATTGTCTCCTCCTCTCTCCCCATCACCGGGTCGGCCTCCGCCGCCCAAATTCCATCCCCCTCTTCGAGGGTTCAAATTCCACTTCCCCTGCCCCGAGTTCCATGCGAGCCCCGACTGCGGCTTATAAATTCCGACTTCACATTCCTTGTTCTCCCTTCACATTCTAAGCCGCAGCTTCACATTTAAACGTCATCTTCCACCTATTAGCTAACTTAATTCTCATTTAAAAAGCCCTCCCCGAAAGAGGAGCGCTCTAGCGACCTGGCCGCCACCCCTGCGCCTCCAAACTAATGGAGATCTGAGGGGGCACCCAGGAGGTGTTCAATAAGTAACAGTGACCGTTCGTGGGCTCTTGATAGGGGCTCATCTGGTTCCTCCGACAGGTCCCGCTGCTTCCCCCATCCCACCTTCCTTCCAGCCAAGACGGGATGCCCCTGTGGCCCACTCCTCCCCTAGGTCCGACCCCGGCTTCCGTTCTCATCCCCAGCTCCTGCTTCTGTCCTGACCGTGGCGTATGACAGTCACCTTGCTCCAGCCCTTCCCTCACAGAAGCCCCGAGCGGGTCTTCTGTGCCCTCAACTCTGTTTCTCACCGGCTCCTGGGGAACCTCCTCCTCGGTCTCCGCTTGGGCTGAGTAGGACTCAGGGATCCCAGACTCGTCCAATTATAATGTTGCCCTGCCCCGCCCACTCCTCCCGGGCCGCGGCGAGCTGGGCCAGCCCCAGTCACGAGGTGGGCTGTCCCCTTCCCCTTCACACAGCAGGCAGGGGGAAGGAGGTGGGGGTTGGAGGCCCTGTGATGCCCCCCCCTGCCCCCACAAAGGGAGGTGACATTTTTACCCAGTAACTCAGGCCCCTTCCTCTGTGCTGGGGGGCTAGGCACGCCAGGGCAAGGAGCTGCTGCTGCTCCCCAGCACCCATTCCCCCCCTTTCTCTTTTCCTGTGGATGAATAAATAAAGTTTGGGGAGGGGACTGGGGGCCGGAATCCTGGGTCAGAGGAAAAGAGAAGGCTGGGGGCTTGGATTCCTGGGTTCTGAGGGGAGGTGGCCGGGGGCGCAGACTCCTGAGACTTAGGGAGAAGGGCACCGGAGGCCAAAACAGAGACGGGATGGGAGGGGTGCGGACTGTGTAAACCTGGGTTTTAGCCCTCGCTCCCTCTTTGGCTGTGACCTTGGGCACGGGCAGGCAGCTCTCTGAGCCCCCCTCCCCGCTTGCAGATGAAGATCCGGCCCTTCTCCCTAACAGGGACATTGTAGGGGCTCTGCCAGCTCCATGACCTTGGGCAAATGATCTAGCCTATCTGAACACCTTTACTTCTTGGTCCACAAGACCAGGAAAATGGTCACGCTTACACCACCGCTCGGTGATGCAAGCTCTGCTGTCATGTACGAAGTCCCAAGAGCTGTTCCTGGCACGACCTGCTCTGATTGGCCCCAGCGAGCACCGTCCCCCCGCCAGCAGCTGGCTGGCGAGTCCCAGCTGTCCCACGGAGAAGCCCAGGTTCAGCTGAGGTGGGGAAGGCCACACGGGAAAGGAGGGCTGGGCCTCCTCCCAGGAAGGCAACCCCAGGGCTAGCCAGGCCCAGGCCTGTTGGCTTTGGCGTCAGAAGGCGCCGGTAAGGAAGGAGCGGGGTGGCTTCCCCAGGTAATGAGGGGTCCTCTCTGCTCAATGGCCTCCCTCCCCAAACTGTGTGTGTGTGGTGGGTGTGTTCCCGCCAGACAAGGTTTCAGTTCCTGTCTGGAGAGGTCAGGGGTGTTGGGAGCTTACAGGAACCGTAGGTGGGCAAAACCCACACCCTGACCTCCTCCCCCCCATGTGAGCCAAGGAGCCGTCTGTAGCCAGACCAGAGTCAGACTCCAGCCCCGCCCCTTAGGCCCAGAAGTCCAGAAGCCCTTTGCCCCCACAGGCAGAGTTGACTCTGAAGTCTTTCCAGGTGCTGGAATCCCTGCAAGCCTTCTGAAGGCTCTGGCCTTCCTGTCACGAAGTCCTAAGACGTCGTCCCCTGCCCCTTTCGGAACCTGAAGTCCCAACTTGTGCCGCAATCCTTGCACAGCACAGACACATCACCCCTGCTGCTGCAGTCAGCAGGGGGAATCTTCTGGTAGCCTCTCCGGCCGGGCCAGACCAGGCCAAGCCAAGCTGGGGTGTGATCGCAAGACCCAGCCCTGCTGGTGCGGGAGGGCCTGTGATGTCCCAGCAGAAGTCACACAAGTCACAGGGAGGATGTGTGATCTCAGGCCAGGCCAGGCTGGACTCCCCGGACGGTAGGTCAGCCTTCCCGGCTCCGCCCTGCAGCGCCCCCTGCTGGCCCCCGGGAGGTCCGTCTGGATGCACTGGGCAAAAGGGGCGACAGACACACGGACCAAGAGACACCGCCCGGTTCACTTTTGTTCACGTATATTTTTTGTTGTTTTTTTTTTTTTTCTGTAAAATGTCCCGGTTCTTCCATAACTTATAAACATGATTTATACTGAGGGATGGGTGGGAAAGTGGGCGGGGGCAGACTGACCGGGGATGGGGAAGCTCCTCTTCTTCCTGCCCCTCAGGGCCGGGCCCAGGGCCCTTTGGGGGGACTCGGATACCCCAACACCTCCCTGAGGTTGTCTGGCCGCCTCTGCCCCTGGTGCTCAGAACCTGGCGTGCCCCTTGATTCCGGAATCCCTCCTGTGACTCCAGGCCCAGTAGGCACCCTGTCCCTAGTGCTCCGAATCCTGAAGCGCGCGAGTTCCAGAATCCCCCCCTCAGCTGCTAGGGTGATGGGTCCCCTCCTTTCCACTGCCCCCCTGACCCCCGAGGAGGGAGGGAAGGGAGGGGGAGGAGGGCTCAGGTCTCCCCTCCGTGGCAGGGGGAGGGGGAGGGGGGATCTGTAGGAGGAAGGGTGGAAGGCGGGGGCCAGGAGGGGCTCAGCCGATGGTGAGGCCAAAGCCGCACTGGAACTTGTTCTTTCGGTGATTCAGGAAGGCCCCAAGGGCCAACGTCAGGGGCAGAGGCGGGAGCTTCTTCTCCAGCGTGGCGCCCACGATCCAGTTGCTGTCCACGGAGCCTGCAGGGAAACAGCTGAGTCGTGAGCCAACTTCCAGCCCTGTCCCCGTGGAGTCACACTTCCAGGCCACCTCAGATAGCCACCAACCAGACTGCCAGCTTCTAGACCTCTGACCACACCTGGAAACCTCTTCCCGAACCCCAAGTTCTCCAGTCCTCGGAGCAACTGGCTTAGTTGTCCTCTCCCTTCCCCACCCCCACCCCCGCTTGATGACCCCTCCCCTCTGGAAGCCCTTGGCCACACCAATTCCGGGCCCTCCCCCCCGCTCCTGCCAATCCCGACCACTCCAGGTCTTCACTCTCTAGGGATGGGTCTGTCACACCCCCAACCTCCACCATCTGCTTTGGCCTACACACCCACTCAGGGCCGAGTCACCTGATGCCTACTTGGTTTCCAAGCAGGGAAACTGAGGCCTGTACCTTTGAAGAGGAGGTTGGCCTTGGGCAGGTCCAGCTGGTACCCGAAGGAGACGCTGGTGTCCTGCATCCTCGTGCTGGCCTCGAACTCCACACCCACCTGCAGCTGGAGGGACCGGGGTGACACGCAAGGGTCAGCTTCCCAGGCCGGGCTCCCGGGCACACCGGACCCTGGCCCCCCAGGCCCGCAAAGCCTGCCCTCGCCGTGGGTCCCCGGCCCAGCTCACCTGGTCGCTGGCTTTGTGATAGTAGGTGGCATGCATGCCTGCCTGGCCCAACGTTACTGTCGCCAACCAGTTGTTCACTGTAAGAGAGCGCGGTGGGGGTGGGGCGCAGATTACCAAGGGGGCCGGGACCCTGGACCCCGCCCCCTACCCTACCCCCCAGGCCCCGGGCTCACATGTGTACTTCCCAGCTAGAGACATGACAGTGCCTTCCTCCCCAGGCCGCCGGTGGTAGACAAGCTCCCCACCCAGGGCCAGACACGGCGTGATGCTCTGGAGGTAGTGGGCCACCAGGATTCCTGTGGGCCAGATTGGGGGGGGGGGTCACCTTGGCTTGGTGCGGTCAGTTTCTGCTGGGCCCACCTCCTGCTCCAGGTGGCCTTCCAGGCGCGCCCCTGCTGGAGGCTCAGGGCCCACCCCTCAGGCCTCCCAGGCCCCATGAGGCGGCCATTCCTTCGCCACCACTTGGGAGTCCACGGAGGCTAAGGGAGTGATTCACTGACCCGCAGTCACAAGATTATGTCAGGGGCAGAATCTGGGCTTCTCCACCTCTCTGGCCTGGGTTCTGAACCCTTCCGCCGCTGGGAGGCTTGTTGATGAGCACGCCTCCGGGGGCCAGACAGCCTGGGTTCAAATCCCAGCCCCACCACTCGTTGGTGGAGTAACAGCGGGCCACTGGGGTCACTTCTCTTGTGAGCAGGACTACCTCTGGAGGCGGCCCTGAAGTCTCAAGGAGCGAATGAGGTGCGGTGCAGTGGCCAGGCCTCAGTGATCGCTAGGACCAGCCACGCCGAGGCCCACAGCTTGCTCTCCCTGCCCCTTGGCAGCGGGGTTGGCCCCGAGGCCCCTGGGCGTGGCTAACAAGCGACTGTCTGCTTGCCGGGCTGGATTCCTGGAGCCCAGGGACTGTCGCATTCATGCCTGTCTTTGGAGCCGAGAGTAGACGCCACGAACGTGATCTACCGGAGAACCGGGGAGGAAGAGAGTCGGAGCCGCAGAGGGAGTGCCGGTGAAGGAGAAAACAAGACACTTACGTGCAGAAGTGGAAACAGAATCAGAGAGGGAGGGAGAGAGGGCCGAGGACTCCCAGGAGAGACTAAGAGGACACGGTCGGGCTGAGGTCACGAGCCAGCGAGGGAGGGGAGGATGGAGGGAAGGGGAAGGCAGGGCAGGGATGCAGGGGGACTTGGGGGAGAGCAGAGAGCAGACGTGTGAGGGGCAGGGGGAGAGCCAGGCCGGAGCAGGAATGAGCGTGCAGGGTCAGAGGCCTCTCCCGATCCAGATGGGGGCTGCCAGTGGGGCCGGGGAGGCCGAGGGTCCAGGGTCCCAGCTCCGGTGCTGTGTCGTGGTCAGGGGCCGGCTGACCTAACCCCTCTGGGCTTCTGTGAGCCTCGCTGTGCACTCCTTCACCACTAGAGCAGGAGACTTGGGTCGGCCCCTGCAGCCAGCAGTCGCACCCCCCGGGCCAGGCTTGTCCCCCCCCTGGGGGGGGGGGGGGGGGGGGGGGAAACGTGGCCCCTGAGGGAAGAGTTAACTGTCCTTGCTCACAGAGAGACTGCGTCTTCAACTCAAGAGTCTCTGGCCTCTCAGCTTTGTCACCCACCGGGACTCGGGGTTGGGGACCCCCCGAACATCCCTCCCACCTCCTGGCCTGCCTCGCCCTCTCCAATTTCACCTGCAGCACAGAGGGATCCTGTTCATGCACACACCTAACCCCGTTCTCCTGCTCAGAACTTGCCATGGCTCCCCAGTGCCCAGGAGACCCAGCTGCAGGGTCCTACATGGCTGGGCCCCAGCTTCAAAATCGAGCCCCTTCCTCTTTCCAGGACACAACCGTGTCCCTCTAGGCAGAATGAACTCGAGCAGCTCTCTCTTCCCTGTGCACGCACTGTCTCTCCTGCCCGGGGTGCCCTCTCCCCTGCTGAGCCTGGCCGACTACATATTCGCACCTGTTTCCTGGATTTGGCGACGCCCCGATTGCAGCCATGGTCACCCTGGGACCAGGGCAGTCACCCCGCTCTGCTTTCACCTTCCCCCTGCCCTGCAGTCTGCAGAGAGAGGCCACTGGAAGTCTGAGAACTGGGGTCACAACGTGCTCTCCACTGCCTGTCCCTCGTTTCCACAGCTCGGCCCGCTCTCCCCGCTCCCCAAGCCCGTTCCCTGGGCCTCTTCCCCGGGGGGGCTGCCCTGCCCGCAGCTCCTCACAGTCCTCACCCCTCTAACTCCTGAACCCAGGCAATCCCTGCCGCTGGGTCCACAGCCGGCCCCCCTCGCCCCCCAAGGCCCGTGGGCTCCCCTGTGGGTTCTCAAGCGGGGGCCATTCTGCAGCATGCGGGGTGGCCGGGAAGAACCTCGTGCTCCGGACACCACGTGAGAAGGAAAGAAAGCAAGTGAGGTCTGTGAGCAGGGAGGCGGCCTCGGGCAACCGGCAGAGCCAGGCAACCCGGCAAAGTCGCACCTCCAGAGCCACTTCCCCAACCTGCCGGGCAGGGAGCGGGAGACGGAGACGGGGCAGCAGGGAGGTTGGGGGCGCCTCCCCCTGGCCTTTCCCCTGCTCGCCTAGGACCCACACCAGGAGTCCTTGGGGAAGTCAGCTGGGGCAGGAACGGCAGACACCCCAGGGCGGATGCTCAGGTAAGGGCAGCACCCAAAGCGGGGTGTAGTTCTGGGACCCAGCCAGACAGGACGTCTTTCTGCTCTCCACGCCCTGCGCTCCATGGGCCTTAGGAGCACTGCCCTCCTACCCCCCTTCGACTGAACACCACCGTCTTAGAGACGCTGTTCCCCGCCTTTAGGTGAGAGGGGTGTGTGTGTGGGGGGGGAAGGGGGCAGTAGTTATAAGCTCTCACTAAGCAACCTGAACTTTTCCCCGAGTTGGATTTTTCACAATAGTACTGAAGTCACTGTGTGATTGTTTGTTTAAAAGCAAATGTCCCGGGGCGCCTGGGTGGCTCAGTCAGTTACACATCTGCCTTTGGCTCAGATCACGATCCCAGGGTCTTGGGATTGAGCCCCACGTTGGGCTCCCTGCTCAGCGGGGAGTCGGCTTCTCCCTCTGCCCCTCCCCCCTGCGCATGCTGTTTCTCAAGTAAATAAGTCTTAAAAAAAGAAAAGAAAAGAAACGTGACTTATGTGGCACCCGGTTAGCTCAATCAGTTAAGTGTCCAACTCCTGATTCTGAATCTGGTCATGATCTCAGGGTCCTGGGACTGAGCCCCGTGTCAGGCTCCCTGTTCAGTGGGGGGAGTCTGCTTCTCCCTCTTCCTCTGCTCCTCCCCTTAATTCTCTCTCAAAAAATAAATAAAATTTAAGAAAAAAATAAAATAAAACCATATGCCCCCGGCCCCAATTGGGCTGGGAGCCCCGTGAGGGGAGGAAGGAGCTGTCTCAGTCACTGCTGTATCCTGGCACTGCCCTGCCAAGGGCTGGGCACATGCTAGGTTCTCAGGAGGCTCCTGAGATGAGGCCGAGGCCACGGGGAGGGAACCCAGAAGGAATACAGGCCCTTGAGTTGGACCACGATTCACACTCCAGCTTCTCGGTTTCCCGGCCGTGTGAGCCCGGGCACCCAATTCCACCCCTGGGCCTCCTTTTCCTCACCTGTGAAATGCGGGCCAGAAAGCCAGGGACACCCCCTGCCCGCTGCAGGACATGGGGTCACGACGTGCTGAGAGACCCCCAACCGCGTGCCCGGTCCCACACTGGGAGCCGAAGGCGGACTCCCACTCGGGATCCTTCACCCAGAGGGGGGTGCCGTTTTTGTGCCCTCGTGACAGATGCCGTTACCAGTGTCATTAGAAGGAATGGAAAGAACTACGAGACAAAGAGTGCCCCCGGCGGCCTCGGGCACCGGGGAAGGGGGACCCGGAGGCCAGTGCCAGGAAACACGGGAAGCACACAAGCAGCCAGCGAGTGCGTGCGGGAGGCCGTGCCCGGGGGCCATAGAGAAGAGCGTGGATTCTGGAGTCTGACCCGCTGTGCGTCCTTGGGAGGCGCTTCCCCTCTCTGGGTCTTGGCAAGAGGAGGATAATGGTAGCACCTACCTCACGGGGCTGTTGAGAGAATCCAACAAGCCATTCTCCTCACTGCTCTATTCCCAGTGCCTAGAATGGCTGAAGGAAAGGATACGCATCACACGCCTAGGGCCTGACCAAGGGCAAGAAGCACCACACGGGACATGCCACTACCACCACTCGCTCCCTTGTCCAGGGTTTTCTCAGCGCCTACTCTGTTCCCGGCACGGTTCCAGGAGCTCGGCACACAGTGGCAAGTGAGACAAGCAAGTTCCTGCCCCGGAAGGGCTGCCACCCTAGCGTGGGAGGCAGGAGATCTCCGGGGGAAGCACTGCAAAGCCCCGGGCACGATGTGGCGCTAACCGCGCACGGCTTTCCTCATGGAAGGTCTTTCTGTGAGGGCAAGCTGTGCCCTGAAACTACTCGTTCAGCCACGTCAAGACCAAGGAGAAGAGCTCCAAGCAGTAGGGACAGCACGTGAAAAGGTTGTGGGGTAGAAAGAATGCAGCAGCTCCAGAAAGTCTCAGAAAAGCTCATGTGGCCCAACTGCAGGAAGCACGTGAGCAGAGGAGGGCAATGACGTCGGGTCTGCAGGGAACACGACATGTTTCTTCCTGAGGTTCCTCATGCCTCCGCGGGACCCGTGGGTGCAGCCTCGCCTAGGAGGCCCCTCCCTCTCTCCTCACCCGTTCCAGCTGCCCCCCTCCTCCCTGCCCGGGGAGCCCCTTTTCTTCCTTGGGGAGCTCAGAGGCCATACCTCTGAGGAGGAGGCTCCCTAGCCTCCAGCAGGCAGAACTGAGAGCTCTCCCCGGGATTCGGGCTTCCTGCCTTCACAGAGCCACTCAATGCCCAAGAGCCTGCTCTCCAAGACGGAGCAAATGGCAGCAGGAACCCACACTCCCATCCTTCCGGTCATTCAAGCCCAAACCTACGGAGTCATCTTGCTCCTCCCGCTCGCCTCCCACACCCAATCCACTGGCCAACCCCGTGGGCTCCACTTTCAAAGTACATCGGGCCTGACCGCTCCTCACTCCTCATAGTCTGCTCTCTGGTGGGCAGCACAGCGGGTCCCGTTAGAAGCTAAATCAGCTCCTGTCCCTCTCAGGCTCGAAACCCTCGGTAAGGCCCCTGACTCATTCAGAGTGAAGGCCGAAGTCCTACAAAGCCTCAGCTGATTTGGGCCCTTTACCCCTGTGACTTCCAACTCTCCCTCTTTTTTTTTTTTTTTTAAATTTTATTCATTTATTTGACAGAGAGAGAGACACAGCGAGAGAGGGAACACAAGCAGGGGGAGTGGGAGAGGGAGAAGCAGGCTTCCCACTGAGCAGGGAGCCCGATGCGGGGCTCGATCCCAGGACCCCGGGATCATGACCTGAGCTGAAGGCAGACACTTAACGACTGAGCCACCCAGGCGCCCCTCTCCCTCTTTCCCTACCCATTACAGCCACTCCCCTCCTGGCGTTCCAGTAAAGTGTCCTGCCTCAGGGCCTTTGCGCTTGCTGTTGCCTCAGCCGAAGAGCTCTTTCCCCACAAATCTGCTTGGCACCTTCCCTCAAATCCTTCATCTTTAATCAAATATTACCTATCTAAAGAGGCTTTCTCTGAGGACCGCACCCCACACCCCTCCCAATGACCCAATCTTTCCCAGCCCCCGTCACCTGACATTTTTTTTTAAGTGCTTGTGTCCCGGTCCTCTGGAATGGAAGCTCCCAGAGGACAAACTGAATTCTCCTTGTTTGCCACACTTTATCCTTGGTGCCTGGAATGTACACGGTACATGCCCAAGCAACACTCACGCTGAATGTAAAGAAATCAAAGAAACACCCAGAGACAAACCAAAAAAAAAAGGGGGGGGGGAACCAAGAAGAGACTAGACGTACAGGCACAAGTCAGGCAGTCCCTGTCTACACCAATCCAAACAGGAACTTTCCTTGTCAGCTTCTGTCTCAGACTCAGACTACCTGCCCGAACTGCACGTGGACCCACCCACCCTGGGATCTCTGCGCCGAAACCGCTCCAGAGCCCCGTAAGTAATAGAAGCAGCCCACATTCCCCTGGGACCTGGTAGAGGCCCCACACCTCTTGAAGTTTCTCGCACAAAAGAACGTAAATGACCTCTTCAACAGCCCCGTGAGGGAGCCCAATGTTACAGACGAGGAAACTGAGGCCCACGGGGGTGGGGGACCTCGCCTACAGCTGCAGTGAAGCCAGGGACAGAGCCGGGGGCTGGAGCCTACTTGCCTACACTCCCTGCTGTGTTGCGGGTGTTTCCAACGTCACTCCTGCCCCTGACCATTTCTAGACGGTGGAAGAGGGAGGTCCAGAGAAGGGAATGGATTGCGGGGAAAGCTGCAACTGAGACTGGACTGCCCTCCAGGCCCGTGGCTCTTACCTGAACCCACCAGGACGTCTGGGTTCCCCAGGGTGACGGCTGCTGTGAAGTCAGAGCCCCGGTACTCCCCATCCACCTGCCAGTTCACGAACTTGGACTGCTGGGTCTGTAGGGGGGAGGGACAGGGTAGAGGGCAGCCGGGTGCTCAGGGTGGCTCGGGAGCAGCTGGCGTGGCTCCCACTCACCTGGATGGCCATCTTGGACCGGAGGCCAGGGCCCAGCTGGTGAATGACCTGAGCATTGAGGCTGCCACTGTTGTCCATGTCACCCACCAGCACGGGGAATGCCTGTGGTGCAGAGAGCAAGGTCAGAGGTCAGAGGTCTAGCATTATAGAAATACAAGTGTGGTGAGACTAGGTGAGAAGCCTAGCATCAGAAAACCTCGGACTGAGGTTCCCTCCTCCAGGAAGCCCTCCCTGGCCACCTAGACTGAGTCAGGTGCCCCTCTGGGCGCCTCCTCCCCCCGCCCCCCCACATTTCACTCCTGCCTACCCTGGACAGTCACTCTCTGGGGACAGGTCCGTTCCCTTTCTCTACTAGACTATGAGCCCCAAGGCCGTTTCAGTCACTGCTCTGTCCCCAGCACTGCCCAGCACAGGGCTGGGCACAGAACGGAGTACAATGAAGGTTTGTGGAATAAATGAATGTCCTGAATGGCAATAGCTAGTATAAGCAGAGACCTAATTCAATCCCTCAGCTCCACCTGTGTTCTGCCCAGCCTCCTTCCAGGCCTCCAGTTTCACTCCCATTCCCTTAACGCAGCCTCTGCATGGCAGCCCAAGGTAGGGTCCTCGAGTGTCAATCTGACCATGTCTTTCCCCGTCCAAATCTTTCTGTGGCTCTTCACTGCCCCCTAGGGAAAGTCCAAATGCCCTGTTTGGCATTCAAAAGCCCTGCTTTCTCTGGGTGACCCGGGCCCTGACCCAGCACAGGGCTGGGCAGGGAGCAGGGCTTCAGGATGAAGGAGTGACCATGTTCCAAAGCACCCTGGAGAGACAGTCCCCACCTCCCACCACCCTCAGCAGCTCGGCTCTCCTAATATTAAGAGCCTTCTCCGCCTGGTGCTTGGCTACATATTGGTTAGAAGAGAGATACAATGAACAAAAGACAAAAGGAACCTCACCTCTGTGGGACTCAGCTGCTTTGTTCCCACGTAAGTGACCCCGAAGTGGTAGTTGGACTCCCCAATTGTGCTGAGGGCTACTGTGTGGTTTACCTGGGAGAGGAGGGAAGGCTGTGGGGATGAGTCTGTGGGCCACCCCCCAATAAACCCAGCTGAACCTGCCCCCAGCAAAGCTCCCTACAAGCCTGGGATGCAGGTACTCGCCAACCTGGCTTCCCCATCGTGGAGAAAAAGACAGGCAGCTCTGGGTAGGGCAGGGGATGAAGACTGGGAGGTTGAGCCTGAGTAGATTAGACACTCAGAGAAAAGATAAGCTGGAGACGAGGCTACATACCCAGTGCTTCAGTCCTGCCTGGATGTGAAGGGTGGAGGGGCATCCCCAGGTTCTGGGTCCCTAAACACTTCCACTGGACCCAATGAGCAGTCAGACTGGCATTGTGTCTCTGAGTCCTTTCAGGTGCCCAGGAGCCTAGCCCTTTAGGGGGAGTGAGGGGTTGTATGCGTAGGTGCAGGGAGATGGTTGGGATGACCTCTGGAGAGTAAGGGCACCAGGAAGGCTCACCTGGAAATGGTTACTCAACCCTTTGTTGACTGTGAGCTTGACACCTTCCATCTGAATGGGAAATAGCTCTGAAGAAAAGAAATGCTGTCACTCTCCACACGCATACACACACCCCTACGCAAACACTCTCATCCCTTCCTTCCCTACCATCCCAGCTCTCCCTCTTCCAGGGACCCACAAGCACAACATCACACAAAGCACCCCAACCAATAAAGAGACAGTCTAACCCAATACACAGGGCCAGGACCAGGGCCTTTCTTTGCCTGCATCCAAATCCCAGTGCCACCGCTTACTACCCATGTGACCCAAAGCAAGTCACTTTAACTATGTCAAACTTGTCACCTGTAAGATGTCAACTGTAAGCTCACCACGTGGAGACATTGCAAGGATTTAGCGAATTAACATACAGTGAACGCCAGCACAGCGCTCAATAAGTGACCACCACTCTTGCTATCATAACTGTTCCAAGCCAAGATCCAGAAGCCTTGGGTTCCACCCCCACTGGACCCTTGCTGACACTGTGACCTTGGGCCTCAGTTTCCTTCCCGATCACATAAGGCGGCTGGCTTGGCTGATCCCCGGGGCTCCTTGAGGTCCCTAAGCCTTTCCTCTACGGCTCTGGCATTCCATCCTGAGGTTCCACCATTTGATCCCATCGTTCTATGCCCCAAGTCCAACGTTCCACCATTCGATCCTAACGTCAACTCCTAACGCTCTGTTAAATGTTTCCAGTGGTCCGTGCCAATTCCCAAGGTCCTCCGAGTGCTCCCCCTCCCCCCGAGATCCGGGCCCTCACATGCCCGCCGGGTCCGTCGCCCCTCACCCTTGCACTTCCGGTGACACTCCTCGAACGTGCCGGGGTTGGGCAGGCAGCCGCAGGCCCCATCATCCGCGGTCCCTGCGGCGCTGCCGCCCGCAGCACCGGGGGTCCGTTCCGAACCTCGACCCGCGCCAGCCCCAGCGCCCAGACCGCCCCCGAGCGGCGGCAGCGTGAAGCCGGGAGGCGAGGGCGGAGGCGGCGGCAGTCCCACGAGGGCGGGCGCGGGAGGCGGCGGCGGCCCGGCAGGCGGCGAGCTAGCGGCCAAGACGTTCCCCATGGTCGCCTGCAAGGGGAAAGGTCAGAGGGCGAAGGTCAGGGCCCGCGCGCTCCGGGTCCAGTCCCAGCCAAGCCCCGCTCTGCTCCGGGCCCCAGTTCTCACTGGCGGCAGCGCCCGCACCCGGCCTGGGCTCCGCTCCCACCCCGTGCGCCACGCGCAACCGAACCCGCTGCCGCCGCTGCCACCACCGTCGCCTCGCCCCGCCTAGCCCATTGGTTCGGCGTGCCCTGGGATCCGCCCACTAGCTTCAAGGCCTCGCCTTGCAATTGGAGTCATGGCTGGGAGTCCCACCCACCTCTTTGGGACGTCCTTTTCTATTGGTTCCCACTCACAGGCAGGTCGAGACACACCTCCCCGCCTTTCCCATTGGCCCGCGGAGACCGCATCTATTGGCTCTCAACGCCGCGGGTTCCGTTGTTCGCCCGCCATTGGTCTGCGCTGCGCATTTTGAAACGCCCACTGACTCGTCGCCTCCGCCCCTCTCCAGAGGGCGCCCCCCCTTTCGACTCCGCCCCGCAGCGAAATGGCCACTGTAATTGGTCAGCCTTGGCCCTTGAAGCATCCTGATTGGCTCTGGCGGGTACAGGAGGCCGATCCTGGTGACGTAATCTGGCTGGTACATTCATTGGCCAATGTGCCAGGGTCGAGGGACACGGGTGAAGGTGGGTTGCGCGGCAGAGGCTGCTAGGCAGCAAGGTCAGGCCTCTCGTCCCACCAGGCACCGCGGCAGAGGGGCAGCCCCCTAGTCCAGAGCCGGCGACCGAAAACCGGAAGTGCTGGCCCTTCCCACAGTACCTCGGGAGAATTCTAACCGGTTATGCGAACCCTCTCAGGCTTCTTCTTACCCACAATGCCCCTTAGCTATTCTAACGCGACAGTTGCCGTAGACCCACCCCTTTTGTTACCCATCATGCCTTCTGTTCCCCGCCCCGACTTGCGTCACTGCGGCTTCTATCTTTGGCCCATTCATTCCGCTCCCATTACCCAGCATGCCTCTGCCCCATTCATTTCATCTTCATTTCCTGAACTACCCTTAGCCCATTTCTGCCTGTTCACTTCCATCATCCTTCTAACGCTTCTTTAATTAACCATCATGTTTTGGGTCCATTACCCATCATGCCTGCCGGCCCTGTTTCTCTGTTATCCCTCTGCCTTTGGCTCATTCATTCGGTTCTATTACCCATAATGCCCTGAGTTATTACATTATTCCTAATTTTGCCTTTGGCCTATTCTTGCCATTTATCCTTTAAACCCGAGTCCCTCAAACTGGATTACTGCCATTTCTATCTTTGTTCCGTTTATTTCCGTCCGTCACCCATTAGACTGCCGTTCCTTGTCATTAACCACCATGCGCTGGGCTCCTCCCCCTCTCCTTCCATTATCCATCATTATGTTTTTTGTTTACGCATTTTTGCTCATTATCCCCTCACTTAATTTTTTTATATCTTTGCCCGCCCCCCCTTTTTTTTTTGCCTGTAACCCATCTTGACTTCTAGCCTACTGATTTCCTTCAGCTCTCCGCGCCCTATTTGTTTCCCATCATGTCCCACCCCCATCCCCTTCGCAACCCACAGAAAACACAAGTTGACATCCGGTCAAAGTATAAACTCAGATTTTGTAGGAAATGCTGTATTACAAAAACAGTATTATATCCCCAGCCTCCAACCTCCCCCCACCCCCTGCTGGGAGATGTCTGGGTCCCATCCCACTGGGCAGGAGTAAAAGGACTCAGTAGCTTCAAAGTAACAGCAAATTCTTCTTCCAAGGCTGGGGCCGGAAAGGCACACCGCATGAGGCTTACCCCATCTAGTCCTGGGCTGGGGCTTAATTCCCTGTAGACAGGAACTGGGGTAGTGGGGGCTCAGGGAAGGGTCTGGACCCTGAGACTCCTGCCTGCAGGAGGGAGGAGATGGGGAAGCCTTGGGCTGGGGAATCCCTTTCCTCTTGTCTTTGGGGAACAGACAGGGTGGGGAGGGGTGAGTGGGGCTCTGCTGCCTGGAGGGCTCAGGTCTGAGCAGCAGGGTACCCCCCGACACCTACCCCGGCAGAACTATTGGGATTTTACTGCCCGAGGACAACTCGGAGGTCTGGGATCTTCTCTGGGATTTGGGGGGAGTCCGGAGATGATGGGACATGAGAGGTATGATCTAAGGTCACAGTCTTAGAGGAGTCCTTGGGTCAGAGGTTGTGCAGGAACATACTCCCCCACCCCCATGTGAGATAAGGTTACCAGGTTTCTGTTGTCATGGCTGGTTTCTCTGGGTCAGAGATCATGGATTAGAGATCATAGTGGAGCCACCAAGGCAGAAGTCACAGATGAGATGCATTTTTGTGTGTTAACTGACCGTGGCCTGGCCAGAGGTCAGGGGGCACTAGATCCCGGGCAGAAAGTGGAGGGATCAGAAAGTGAGAGGTGAGAGGCCAGGGCCATGGCAGCTCACACATACATGGCTCGGGACATGACAAAGCCTTTGCTCTGGTAGGAATCAGAGGGGCTGGAGTAGGACAGGGCATCATAGATGGGGTTGATCTTATCTAGATAGTCTTCCTCCTCCTCTTCCTCGTCCTCTAAGTCCAGGGAAACGCCCTCCACAACAGGTGGCCCTGGAGGCACCAGGATGGGGGACCCCGGACCCGTGGCCCCCAGGAGCAGGGGCCCCGAGCGCTCTTCCAAGGTGGGCAGCTCATGATATCGAGGCATATCCTGGGGGCAGGGAGGGAAAAAGAGCCCAAGGTCATCTCCTGTGCATTACACAGGATCCCGATCTGCCCCTTCAGCCCCAAATCCTGACCATCTTCTTATGCCAAACCAGACCCGACCTCATCCCTTGTTGGCCTGGGTGGAAACTGCACTAGAGCAATGATATGGCTTGTCTCCAGCTCAAAGCCCAGAGCCTGTCAGTCCTGGGCCTCTCCTTTGTCTTTTGATCCCTGACCACAAGCCTTTCTCCATGAACCTTTGACTTCAATCTTGACCTCAACTACTTAACCTTAAGCCCTAAGCCCTAAAGAGCTCCTTGAACCTTGATTTGTCTCAACTTTAATATCTGACCCCTGACATTCAGTAGATCACGGAGGGGAATAACATTCAGTTTTGTCTCATTCAGTTTTGTCTCATCTCTGGGCACGGTATCTGGCAAATGTAGATGTTCAACCAATCTTCACTAAGTGGCTTTAACCTCATGTCCTTTTGGACTTTTTCAACCATGATCTCCCCCACTGAATCCTAAACACATCTCGGTGCTCTGAGCTCGGACTAGAGATACAGCGCTGGCCTTGAGTTGTGACCTTTAGTGTTTGACCTTTTATGTCAGGAGAGGATCCTTGGCCCTTAAACCCAAACCCTAAACGCACCCCTGCCTTCCCCCGAGTTCTCACCTGCTCAGCACATGAGACGCCAGCATCAAAGTAGGGGGTCTTGAGTGGGCTGTGCTCTGAGGCTCCAAGAGTGAAGAGCTGGGAGGGCTGAAGGGAAGGAAGAGGGGCAGGTCAGGACCCTCTCACAGCTGGCCTCTCCCCACGAGTCCCCCCTCCTAGCCCCGGCCTCAGTGGGGAAAGGTAGGTGTGGAGGTGGGGGCATCTGGGCTCCGGGGTAAGTGCTTACCATCTCAGGCTCCTTCAGCTTCGCCTTGGGGGTTGGTGGCTTGTATGAGGGAGGCCCCTCCAGACTGTTGGGTAGGAGGTAGGTCAAGTGGAGTCTCAGACCCAAGAAGCCCTCCTATCCAGATGCTCTTCCCTCTACCCAATCTCCCTTTCTGCTGTGTCGTGCCCCCCCGCCCCAGGCCCCCTTGCCCAGCTAACTCCTATTCATCCCATGAATTTCTCTTCTTCCAGGAAGCCTCCCTGATTCTCCAGGAGGATTAGGGACTCCTGATATATGGTTATATCTAGCTGTTCTTCCTTTTTGGGGCACTTACTGAGTTTGTATTTGAAATATTATTTCTGATATCATTCAATAACTATCCCACTGTGAGCAATGTGAGGGAAAAAATGAGATCTGTGTCCTCAGCAGTGTTCTCAGAACTCGCTACGAGGAAGTCAGCAAGTATTTGTTTAAAAAATGAACAAGGGGCGCTTGGGTGGTGCAGTTGGTTAAGCATCCGACTCTTGGTTTCGGCTCGAGTCGTGATCTCGGGGTCATGGGATCAAGCCCTGTGTGGGGTCTGTGCTTAGTGTGGAGTCTGCTTGGGATTCTCCCTCTCCCTCTGCTCCTCTTGCTTATGCTCTCTCTCTCTCTCTCTCAAATAAATAAATAAATCTTCGTTAAAAAAAAAAGAATGAATAAATGAAAGGCTTTCCTGGCCTTCAAACTATGTTAAAATTCCCTTGTTATACATACCCACAGACCAGAGCATCCTGTACACATCATGATGAGTGTCTACTATGTCTCCAATCCCCAGCTCAGATGTCACCTCCCCCAGGAAGCCCTCCCTGACCCTCCAGGCTACATCAAGTGCCCCCTCTGGCCTCTCACAGCTCCCTCAGTTTTTCTAGCCCATCTCTGCCACTCTCTAGGGATGGGTCTGTCTCCCAGGAGGGCAGGGCCAGGGCCATCTCAGGCACCACTAGCTCTCAGCACTGGGCTGGGCATAGGAGGTTGAGAGCAAGTTGTTGGTTTAAAATGACTAGATGTTGGGTGCCTGGGTGGCTCAGTTGGTTAAGCGACTGCCTTCGGCTCAGGTCATGATCCTGGAGTTCCAGGATCGAGTCCCACATTGGGCTCCCTGCTCAGCAGGGAGTCTGCTTCTCCCTCTGACCCTCCCCCCTCTCATGTGCTCTCTCTCTCTCATTCACTCTCTCAAATAAATAAATAAAATCGTTAAAAAAATAAATAAATTGACCAGATGTTAAAGAGAGTGGGTCAGAAACTTCCTTGTGCATCAGAATAACTCAGGGAGCTTGTTATAAGTACAATTTCGAAGCCCTTCTTGTAAAAGTTCTGATTCAGTAGGTTTGCTGTAAGCTCGGGAATCTGCATTTTTATTTTTATTTTTTTAATTTTTTTTAAAGATTTTATTTATTTATTTGACAGAGAGAGAGACAGCGAGAGGGGGAACACAAGCAGGGGGAGTGGGAGAGGGAGAAGCAGAAGCACAAGCTCCCCACTGAGCAGGGAGCCCGATGCGGGGCTCGATCCCAGGACGCTGGGATCATGACCTGAGCCGAAGGCAGACGCTTAACGACT